GCCAAGATTTAAAAAAAAAAAAAGAGCTTTAAAAGTATTATGTATAGGCTAACATTTTGTCACACCAGGGGCGTAGCCATCATTTCAGAAGTGACAGAAATGTCAAATACAATAATTTTATGTATGCATGTATTATTATAATTTATTTATTTTTACAAGGAATTCTTTTCTGATCTATTACTTTGAATTTGCTATAAGAAATCAAATACACTTCTGGACAATAATCAATCATTTGTAATCTATAATTCTTACCTAATGGCAATTTTATGATTGTTTTATATACTACAAACCATTATTTCAATTTTCTGCACAGAATAAGGTAGAAAATATACTTTATAGTTTCTGTACTGTAATAAATGATATGTCAATTAGCACTTCATCATTCATAAATTTTATTTATTTATTGTGTTTATTGTCTTAACGCTTTTTATTCAGATTAGCTGCAGATATAGCCGGGCACGTCTTATGTTCTATGAGCGCGAGATCACTTCTCTTTCAGTGCAAAAACTCTCATTTTCATAAAATAAATGCTATAGTATTTAACTTTTCCTCTCCATCGGCGAATGATGAATCTGAAAGAAAATGCGCCCGATGTCTGTTTGCTAGCAACGAACGCTAGTTTCATGCATCTGATTATCAGATAAACCTCGTGCTCTTATTTCAAGTTTGTTGTTAATGCGGTTATTTTAACATTTTCCTTCGTACATTTGGTTGAAGGACATTGTTAAAACACATTTATCATTCAATGGAACTGAATTTCTATGGTGCTGTGAATTTCTGAATTTGTATGCTTTAGACGCTTTTGCTCCGTCCATGCAATAAATACGTAGCCTTCGACTGCTCAGGTAATGTCGTCGGTAAGATGCCGAGAGCCATTGAAAAACTACAGAAAAGTAAAACTACTTCACTTTAGCATTACTGGCCACGAGTACTAAGGAGAGATCACACATCAGCTGCTCGTGTCAGTGAGACCAACGGAGCGCGAGCGCAATCCTGTGACAGTCACAGGCGGTAAATAGTGGAGTGCGTGAAGGAGAGATGAGAGGCACGAACACGGTTCAAGGTCTCCATTAATTTGTGCTTGTAGTAATTTAATGTGTATATATTTTGAAAGCATTGAATCGCTATAGATATCGCGATTCATTTGATTCTTAGCGTTTTAAATCGATTACTGTCTGAAATCGGCAATTCACGATTCAAAAATCATGTTTCAAGATCGATGCATATGCATCATCAAGGTTTGTAATCGATGCATCGATAAAACGAATGAATTTTTACACCCCTAGTAAATACTGAGAAGAGAACACTAAAAAGCATCATAATACACCTACATAAACTACTGCTTAAAGTCTGTGTTTGGGGTCTTTTGGTTCTTTATTTGATCAAAAATACAGAAAAAACTATAATATTGCTAATTTAAAATAACGCTTTACTTCTTAAATGTATTTTAAAATGTAATTTATTCCTATGATGGCAAAGCTGAATTTTCACTCCAGTCTTTAGTGTCACATGAGCCTCTAAAAAATTATTATAATATGAAGCTCAAGAAACATTTCTTACTATTATCAATCAATGTATTACCAATCAATATCAATGTTGTAATCACATCAGCTGCTCGTGTCAGTGAGACCAACGGAGCGCGAGCGCAATCCTGTGACAGTCACAGGCGGTAAATAGTGGAGTGCGTGAAGGAGAGATGAGAGGCACGAACACGGTTCAAGGTCTCCATTAATTTGTGCTTGTAGTAATTTAATGTGTATATATTTTGAAAGCATTGAATCGCTATAGATATCGCGATTCATTTGATTCTTAGCGTTTTAAATCGATTACTGTCTGAAATCGGCAATTCACGATTCAAAAATCATGTTTCAAGATCGATGCATATGCATCATCAAGGTTTGTAATCGATGCATCGATAAAACGAATGAATTTTTACACCCCTAGTAAATACTGAGAAGAGAACACTAAAAAGCATCATAATACACCTACATAAACTACTGCTTAAAGTCTGTGTTTGGGGTCTTTTGGTTCTTTATTTGATCAAAAATACAGAAAAAACTATAATATTGCTAATTTAAAATAACGCTTTACTTCTTAAATGTATTTTAAAATGTAATTTATTCCTATGATGGCAAAGCTGAATTTTCACTCCAGTCTTGTGTCACATGAGCCTCTAAAAAATTATTATAATATGAAGCTCAAGAAACATTTCTTACAATTATCAATCAATGTTTTACCAATCAATATCAATGTTGTAATATTTCTGTAGAAACCATTATATATAATCATCCTAAAACAACAGTGTCATTAGAAAATCCATTAAGTTCAATCAGTCAGAGTATTAAACAATATCCCTAAATTATTGACTAAATATCTGTCTCAGGCAGCATAAAACTGGAGCGAAAGTGAAATGGAATATGAGCGTTCCAGAGAGAAAACATCTGTGGAAAGAATTAATGAGAGACGGGGAAAAATATTTTTAAATGTCTCACTTTCCTTGAGCACTTTCCAGAGCACTCCCTGCTGAAACCTGTTTAATCCAGTGTGAATTTAGGCTAGTTTATGCTGGTTACTTAGGTTAGTTTAGGCTAGTTTATGCTGGTTACTTATTGGCACAGCCATGCTGTTCACCAGCAAAACTTAGCTTTGACTGGTTGACCAAGAAAATCTTGCTGGTTAAGCTTGACAAGAAGCACACCAGCATCCAATGCGGTTTTCTTTTCAGCAGGGATGCATGGATTACTTATCCCAATACCAAAATAAAAATCAAACCCAAAATCAAACCCTTTTCAAGATTCAAGCTGGAATCATTGCAGAAAGAAACTCCTTACCATCAGCCCGTTTGCTAGCAACGAACGCTAGTTTCATGCATCTGATTATCAGATAAACCTCGTGCTCTTATTTCAAGTTTGTTGTTAATGCGGTTATTTTAACATTTTCCTTCGTACATTTGGTTGAAGGACATTGTTAAAACACATTTATCATTCAATGGAACTGAATTTCTATGGTGCTGTGAATTTCTGAATTTGTATGCTTTAGACGCTTTTGCTCCGTCCATGCAATAAATACGTAGCCTTCGACTGCTCAGGTAATGTCGTCGGTAAGATGCCGAGAGCCATTGAAAAACTACAGAAAAGTAAAACTACTTCTCTTTAGCATTACTGGCCACGAGTACTAAGGAGAGATCACACATCAGCTGCTCGTGTCAGTGAGACCAACGGAGCGCGAGCGCAATCCTGTGACAGTCACAGGCGGTAAATAGTGGAGTGCGTGAAGGAGAGATGAGAGGCACGAACACGGTTCAAGGTCTCCATTAATTTGTGCTTGTAGTAATTTAATGTGTATATATTAAAAATACAGAAAAAACTATAATATTGCTAATTTAAAATAACGCTTTACTTCTTAAATGTATTTTAAAATGTAATTTATTCCTATGATGGCAAAGCTGAATTTTCACTCCAGTCTTTAGTGTCACATGAGCCTCTAAAAAATTATTATAATATGAAGCTCAAGAAACATTTCTTACTATTATCAATCAATGTATTACCAATCAATATCAATGTTGTAATATTTCTGTAGAAACCATTATATATAATCATCCTAAAACAACAGTGTCATTAGAAAATCCATTAAGTTCAATCAGTCAGAGTATTAAACAATATCCCTAAATTATTGACTAAATATCTGTCTCAGGCAGCATAAAACTGGAGCGAAAGTGAAATGGAATATGAGCGTTCCAGAGAGAAAACATCTGTGGAAAGAATTAATGAGAGACGGGGAAAAATATTTTTAAACGTCTCACTTTCCTTGAGCACTTTCCAGAGCACTCCCTGCTGAAACCTGTTTAATCCAGTGTGAATTTAGGCTAGTTTATGCTGGTTACTTATTGGCACAGCCATGCTGTTCACCAGCAAAACTTAGCTTTGACTGGTTGACCAAGAAAATCTTGCTGGTTAAGCTTGACAAGAAGCACACCAGCATCCAATGCGGTTTTCTTTTCAGCAGGGATGCATGGATTACTTATCCTAACACCAAAATAAAAATCAAACCCAAAATCAAACCCTTATCAAGATTCAAGCAGGAATTATTGCAGAAAGAAACTCCTTACCATCAGCCCTGGAGTAGACGACCAGAGAACCACTGACCAAGCCTGCATACAGACACCCACTCTTGTACACCAGACATGTGACACTGGACTTATCAGGGGAGAAGAAGTGCTGCAGACGAACCTTCTTAGACCGTTGGCTGCTCTTATACACAGATATACTGAAAAATAAAACGTCAATTCATCAGATTAGACTGGTTAATAGACTATAAATCACTAGACAAACAAATAGAAGCCATCACACTCTCCTCTTCATCTATATGGAATTTGTGGATGTATTGGCTGATGCACACACCTGCCTTCCTCCATTCCCAGACACACAGTCGGTGTGCCACTGGCTTTCCGGTCCTCAGGCTTCATCTCACCATTTTCCAAGGGCTCATCCAGAGGCACATACGTCATGCAGAGAATACGCGACTCCACATTAAAACACTCGGTTACTTTGGGATTTGAGTTCTGCAATGCCACAATGGAGACCTGACCCATGTGATTGGTGCAGCTGGCCACCTGAAAAGAAAGATGATTTCAGAATCTACACATCTCACTGTTCCTTCAAACTGTTCAACAAAACTGATTTGAGTACTAAAGTCTGATGCTTTTTCCAAAGGTGATGTCTCAGATCGATGGGACACACGCAGAGTGCTCTTAAAGGAGTGTTGCCCATCATTGCAGGCTCTTAGGTGTCTCAGAGAAGATAATTATTTTATGACTTTCTGTACGGTAAATACAGCATAAAAGCCTTTAACGCAACCTTACACTCACACTGCCCACACAGAACAGTGTTTAATGATGCTTTTAGAGTTCAAAAGAGCTTTAAAATGATTAAATGCTGTTTCAGGGCAAGTACAATTTGGGAACAAACACACAAACACCAGACTGACAGATTCATATCATGTTGGACTCTAATAAGGAAGCTGAACTGATTTAATATAAAGCATTTTAAGTTTTGACCGTAAATTGTCTCACCCATACACATCCGTGACCCATAACAGGCAGATCTGCAGTGCTGTCAGTGTTCACATGAGGCTCAGGGTTGTGAACTGCACACTCCACCTAACACAAATACACATTGGTTTATTAGACCATTTTTGCAATTATAAACAATAATGATAATGAGGACACAATATGTTTGGTTGGTCACCTTGAACTCCTGCAGTTTTGACATGACCACAGCCATCTGCTTGAGTAAAAGAGGATGGTTTTGCTTCCTCATCTGATTACCATCATCTTCAGCACAAAACCAGCCTAGGATGTTGTCTTCCTCTGAAAAAACACATTACATTAGTGAAGCATTCCTCAGATTCTACAAACCAATGATATTCCCATATGTGTCCTCCTGTTGCCAGTATTATAATCCATTTGTCTGTACTGAACTTTTAGTTCTGGCTAGGCTGAGCGATGATTCACACACACTGAACAATATGAATCCTGCCGGCACATTTTTAAAAAAATGTATTACAAACATGTTTATTTAGAAAATATGCTGGGAACATCATATTAAGGTATGTTTAAATGCGTTTCAGACATTTGGGTGCTTTTAAGTCCTAGACCTCTAATCATAGAAGAGTCATAGACAAAGACAGGATATGGAGACACAGGAAATGACACCTACGTAGAGCCAATTTAGCCATCTGCATATTACTGATCCAAGCTTGCTTGATAGATGGACTGAAAGTGTTGAAGACCGCAGTGAAGAACGTGGGTCTACCATACCTGAAAAGTCCAAATCACAAAGTTCAGATTCTTCTCTGAAAAAGTTAACAATGGAAACAATACACATTTGTCTGAATTCATTGTAAGTGCACCAAATCTCTTGGGTAGTCTAAATATCTCAGCACGGGTTCAGCTGGTCTGGCAAACTGTCAGGCAGCTGGAGAAACAGACAGGGTCCTATCCTGTTTATCTGTGACTTTGCAGGATATGGTTTAATAATTGGCCAGTTTCAATACTAATGAACAGATCACAGAATTGATAACTTTCCTACTTTTGTTAGTATTTTATGACTTTCGAAAGGGGCCTTTAAACTTTCATCATGTAGAAATAATAGATAGAATAATGACCAGAACTAAAATAGTGAAGTCATGTAATCCAGACTACTCCCATCACTAACTCAAAAAGAAAGTCAACAGCATACATTTTCCAGAAGTCACAGTGTGTGAGAGAGATTTATGTTATCAGAAGGATTAGTTTGACAGCTGGGAGTCTAAAGATACTCCTATAATCCAGACACTAAAATCCAAGCATACAGTCGCAAATAATCGGTGTGTGTGTATGTTTTTGACAACTGCACACTCTAAAGCTCCTGAACCACAGGAAGAGGATAATAACCGCACAAGACGGTCTTTGGGCTCTGATTAGGGACTTAAGGTCATTCTTTAAGCACTGAGTCACGTAAACACAGAGACATGGCAGTTTGATCATTTAAAAGTCTGAGTTTTAAGACATTCAGGAAGACCAAATAAATCCAAATTATGGTATATTTCTGCTCCCTAATAATAGATAATAATAATACTAAAAAGACAATTGCAATATAATTGAAACAACACATTAACTACAATAAGGAGTTGTAGTTGTAATAAATGGATATGTAAATGCATTTATAACCCTCGAAAAATTTTAATTTGACCATTTTACATTTTGGATCAGCAAGATTTCTTTATAAAGAAATGAATACTTGTATTCACCAATGACGCATTAAATTGATTCAGTATTTTCTTCTACTCAGAGCTGAAGTAAAATGTGAGTCTCTCTCACACACAGATACACCAATGAAACATGGCTCAGAAGGCAGAGTCAGCCATATAAGATCTGTTTTTGTTCAGTTGCATCAGGTTCTGCAAGTATGCAACATTCATCCTTTTAAGAGGAGCTTAAAGATGTGGTAAAAAGGATGTTATTCTCTAGAGTCAAAGTTTTATAAAAGAGGACAAAACTTTGTTGCCCTTGTGCATCATTTTATAAAGACCTGTTAATTGTTAACTAAATTTAAAACTACTAAAAATTGTTTTCAGTCACTGAAATTAAAACAACTTAAATATTAGAAAGGCTATCTTGGCAACTAACTGAAATAAGTTTAAGTACTAATATTACTAAAACAGAAATAAAAATTAAAGCTATAAATTAAAATTAAAAAAAGAAAACTATGAAAATATAAAAATAAAAGCCAATATTACAAATTACTCTAACAGTACATAAATGACTAAAAGAACACTGACAAATACCAAGGTGGTACTTCAGCACTTCACAAAGTCTTACACACTTTAACCAAACTTAACAGAAAAACTATAGAAAATGTATACACTCTTTAAGCTTCAGCAAAATTGAAAAATGTAAAATGGTACTCTGGAACTTCTCCATAACCTTTTCACAGCATCCGTAACAGTGACATCACCTCCCCTCCTGGTAGCTTTATTATTCATGTTTAATTAGAATTTAAAAAGTAAAACGAGAGAGAATAAAGACAGAAAGAGGCTGGGAATGCAAGAGCTCTTGATTCAGTGCTCTAGTTTAAATCAGAGCAGCTCTTGCACCCAGACTGTGTTTTCAGTAACCACAGAGACAAGTCTTTTTCAAATGCACAGAAAAGTGATTTTTCTACCTTCATGCATTAGTAGAAAGGTACAGAGAGTCCAACATTTTTTCTGTCTAAAACTGTAAAAGCTTAAACAATAATCCAATTGAGACCTACAGTGTGAGTTTTTGCATAATATCTTGTCCCTTCATTTGTCACCTCAGCTGTGCTGAACAGAGCACACGCAATGAAACAGGAAAAACAGTCTTTCCTCTTTTGTTCAGCATTGTGAGTCAGTGTGACCTGTTCTCTCCAAACCACAAAAACAGAGCAGACAGCCTCCAAGAGGAGAAAAGACATCCTCAACGGCAGATGATTTTGAAAAGAAATGTTGCAACTGAAGGATGTGAAGGACTGTTTTATTATTATTCTGTGTTTTCTGCACTGGAGTCTCTGACGGGTACAGAATCCAAAAGATGCATATGAAGTGAAGTGACATGTGGCCAAGTATGATTACCCATTCTAGGGTAAAGTGCTCTGCATTTATCCCATCCTAAGTGCACACACACAGCAGTGAACACACACACCGTGAACTCACACCCAGAGCAGTGGGCAGCCATTTATGCTGCGGCCCGGGGAGCAGTCGGGGGTTCGGTGCCTTTCTCAAGGGCACCTCAGTCGTGGTATTGAAGGTGGAAGGTGCTGTACATTCACTCCCCCCCACTCACAATTCATGCCGGACCCGAGACTCGAACTTGCAACCTTTGGGTTACGAGTCTGACTCTTTAACCATTAGGCCACGTCTTCCCTGTGTGATATGTGACCCTGGACCTGGATGAAATTGAGATTTATCATCTGAAAGCTGAATAAATAAGCTTTCTACTGATGTATGGTTCGTTAGGATGGGTACAATATTTTGCCGAGATACAACTATTTGAAAATAAGGAATCTGAGGGTGCAAAAAAATCTAAATATTGAGAAAAATCACCTTTAAAGTTGTCCAAATGAAGTCCTTAGCAATGCATATTACTAATCAAAAATTAGGTTTTGATATATTTACGGTATGAAATTTACACAATATCTTCTATCCTAATGATTCTGGCAGAAAAGAAAAATCTGTAATTTTTGTATTGTTGGATATTGCTACAAATTTACCCATGCTACTTATGACTGGTTTTGAGGTCCAGGGTCACATATGTAAATCAGCACAACATTATAAATATTCATCAAGCATTACATTAAAACCCATATTTACAGGAGGTAGTACAGCAGCCATTTTTAAAACAACCCTCTGACTATAATCCTTGGGGAAACAGGCAATCCACTAAAACAGATGACTTTTAGCGGACTAGAACAGCACTTGGCGAACACTTCAAAGCATACTGCTTTGCATGGTATAATGAGGAGAAATGTTGTGTGTCTAACTTCCGTGCTTTAAGCAGAAAGCTTTTGAGTACTCTCTCTTACCTCCTCCTTTCCCTATCCCCATCTCTCTCTATAGTTT